GAGACAGGGTCTTGGTGTGTTGCCCAGGCTGGTCTTGAACTCCTGGGCTCTAGAGATCCTCCTGCCTCAGCCTCCCAAAGTGCTGGGATGACAGGCGTGAGCCCCCTCGCCTGGCCTAGATTTTCTGATTGTAAAATTCGGGGGAACGCTTTCCCTCCGTTGTTCACCTCTCTTCTATTTCCCTTCTTTCTGCCCCTCCCTGCTTTGCTCATGGCCCGTGCACCTGCACAGGCTGCCTCGTGAGTAACCCAGCTTTGGCATTACCTTCAGATATTCATTCATCTCCACACTCTTTAACTGCCTGCATAGTTCATTTACGGTTCTAGCTTCCACGAATGCCTCTAAAGTGACAAAATCATCTAACCACACTCTGCTCCTCATACAACATTTTATTCATCGGTTTCTGTCATCCTTGGTATCTCAGGGTAGCACCAGGGCCCCTGATTAGTGCTTTTAAGTGTCACAACCTATGATCATCTTTGAACAGTAACAGACCAGGGTGCAGTGTCCTAGCCAGATGGCTTCCTGACTCCGGGGCTTCCTTTCCTTTCCCACTCAGCATCTTGGAGTGCCCTTCCTTTTTCTCCCCCTTGTCCCTCAGCCCACAGACATCCTCAGGACCCATGGAAGGTTGGTCACTGGGAACGGAGGATGATGTCCCTCCCTGGGCACCCCTTCCCCTCCTCCTGTCAGCCTCAAAGCTGGTCTCATGGCAGCCCTCCCTGCTTGATGAAGATTCTATTCTATAGCACATGCCAAAAACACCACTGCAGCTCCTGTGATAACGATGACCAGATGCGCCAGAAAGTCCCAATTAAAATGTTTCTTTTAAAATTTTATTTATGGACAGGCATGGTGGCTCATACCTATAATCCTAGCACTTTGGGAGACCAAGGCAGGCAGATCACCTGAGTTCAGGAGTTCCAGACAAGACTGGCCAACATAGAGAAACCCCATCTCTACAAAAAAACACAAAAATTAGCCAGGTGTGGTGGCACACACCTGTAGTCCCAGCTATTTGGGAGGATGAGGCAGTAGACTCACTTGAACCTGGGAAGTGGAGGTTGCAGTAAGACAAGATCATGGCACTGCACTTCAGCCTGGGTGACAGAGCGAGACTCTGTCTCCAATAATAATAATAATAACAATAATAACATAAAAATTATTTTTTTATTTATTTAAAGAGACAGGGTCTTACTCTACTGCCCATGTTAGCATGATCATAGCTCAATGGAGCCTCAAACTCTTGGGCTCACTAACGTATAATTTTCTGTTTGCCAAATCCTAACTCTCATTTGAGAAATCATGGCCACTTGTCCGGTACAGAAAAGAATGAAAGGCTGCTATTAGCACCTGTAAGATTAAATCTGATTTTGTATGTTTTAGGGTCTAAATAAATGTCAGTAGCAAAAGAAGAAGGAGGGAGAATCAGAGTTATGGGGATTTTACATTTGACCTCCTGAAGTGCTGGGATTACAGTCGTGAGCGACTGCACTTGGCAGCTGGCTAATTTTTTTTTTTTTTTTTTTTTTAAGAGACGGGATTTCACCATATTGGTCAGGCTGTACTGGAACCCCTGACCTCAGGTGATCCACCTGCCTTGGACTCCCAAAGTGTTGGGATTATAGGCGTGAGCCACCGCGCCCAGCTGGCAGGTGGCTAATTTTTAAACACTTTTTTTGCAGAGCTGGGGTCTTGCTGTGTTGGCCAAGTTGGTCTCAAATTCCTGGACTCAAGTGATTCTCCTGCCTTGGCCTCCCAGAATACATTGCAAGCCTGAGCCACTGCATGTGGCCAGAACCCTGTCTCCTGATCTGTTGGCCTCAGATAAATAAATAAAATAAAAATAAAGCCTGGCCAGGTGTAGTTGCTCACACTGTAATCCCAGCAGTTTAGGAGGCTGAGGTGGGAGGATTGCTTGAGCCCAGGAGTTTGAGACCAGCCTGGGCAACATGGCAAAGCCCCCTTACAAAAATTAGCTAGGCCAGGTGGAGCACGCCTTGTAGTCCCAGCTATTCAGGAGGCTGAGGCTAGAAGACCACTTGAGTCTGGGAGGCAGAGGCTGGAGTGAGCTAAAATCGTGCTACTGCATTCCAGCCTAGGCAACAGAGGGAGACTCTGTCTCAAATAAATAAATAAATAAATAAATAAATAAAATAAACCTATTTTAAAACACTATCGCTGGGCGCGGTGGCTCACGCCTGTAATCCCAGCACTTTGGGAGGCCGAGGCGGGTGGATCATGAGGTCAAGAGATCGAGACCATCCTGGTCAACATGGTGAAACCCCGTCTCTA